TTCCAATCCACGCAGAACTAGCTATGACAGAGGGAAATGGATACAATATAGAGGCAGAGAAAAGCTTTTAGCAGTCTTTGATACTGGAAGCAGGAGGGAAATACAGTGGGCCCATGGTATCCACTGGGATTTGATTCTAGGACCCAGCATAGACACCAAAATATGTAGATACTCAAGTACCATTAAATACAATGGCACAGTAAGATGATGTCCCTTGTATAAAATGGCAAAATCAAGGTTTGATTTTTGGAATTTATATATTTTTAAAATATTTTCAAACAGTGGGCACGTGAATCTTTGAATAAAAAATCCCTGGTTATGGAGGGCTGACTGTATTTAGGCTTTTAAAGAAAAGTTAAATGGTATGTCAAGGATGAGCAACGTGTGGCCCTCCTGATGTCAGATTGCAGACCTATCAGCTCCAGTCATTATTTTTCATGGGAGATGCAGTCCACCTGGACCTTGTTAGAGGTATACACCATCCCTTCATTTTTCTATAAGCAATATTGAGAGGGTATAAATTGGATAGATGCTCAAGATCATTGAAGACAATCTACTCTGGGTTTTGCCTATCAAAGATGCTGATGAGTATCCTCTAAATATGCTAAGCCCTTTAGAAAGTTTCCTTAAAATGTCAATTAAAACCAAACTTCTGGGACTCATCACCCCACTGACACTGGAGCCCTCAGGTGCCACTGTTTCAAGGTTTACTTTCATTTCTATTTTTAAGCAGATTGGCTGGAACAGCACTTTTTGGTATAATCCACAGTTTAGAACACAATTCCAGTTTTGCACCTCCTTTTGCAATTCCTTGATTTTGACTCAAAAAAAGTACCCAAATATGTGCAAGTAATATATTTTAGGATAAAATATGTGCAGAACATATCTATGTGTGTGTTTTGGAATGAAACATGCCTTTAATTATACGTTCTATGAAAAAAATGTTTAGTCGTAGGCTTTCATGGCCAGCATCCATAGTTTTTTGTGGGTTTTTGGGGCTGTGTGGCCATGTTCTAGAAGAGTTTCTTTTAGATGTTTTGCCAGCATCTGTGCCTGGCATCTTCAGAGATGTCAGCCACAGATGCTGGCGAAACGTCAGAAAGAAACTCTTCTAGAACATGGCCACACAGCCCCAAAAACCCACAAAAAAAAACTATAAAAAATGTTTGTGTTTCAATATGACTTTCATTTGCATCCTTTAAAACAAAATCATACTCTGATGCCAAAATAGAACAGATTTGTGCTTTAACACATGCATAATTGACAGAGGCAGCAAAAATCCATCTGTCCCAGTGTTCGGTGTCCCAAAACAGGAGTGCATGTAGCTTTTTTTAAAAAAAAAAAAAAAAAGAGGGGCTGCAATGTCAGATGAATTTCTGGGAGACATGAAGGATAATCTGCTCCACTGAGTGGGAAAGAGTGAGTGTATCAATGCCAGCTGTTTGACATTTTGCTCACCCTGACCCTGAGGGAAACTAGAGCACCCTTTGCAAGAAGGCAAGTGACTGCTATTACAGCCTGTTAAGGGAGTGAAACCAGACTGCGAGCAGCTGAGGAGCAAAGAAAAGTGTCCAGACCTGCTGAGCAACTGATGAGTAAGAGTGGAAGATTGATGAACAGGAGGGAGTCCTTCTGTCTGACCCATTCCATACACACCCTCCCCACTTGTCAATCCAAGCGACAACAGGCACAGTTACCAGTTTGTTAATCTCTTCCTACAAGCTTCATTCATTCCGTGCTGCAAAGTACATTGGGTAAAAGGCAAGCAAGGAAGAGAGGGAGCCCACTGCAACTTCATCACTGTCTTAGAGGCGCAATGGGCTCCTTAGCTGTAATGAAAACTTAGACATCTCCTGCAGGGTAAGCCACTGCGGAGCTCAAATTGCAAACAGGCTAAAACAGTTTCAAACTGAAGGATCAGGCAGCTGAAGGGATTAGAGTTATGGAGATGGTCTCTGGTGTGTGTCAACATGCAGAAGCTTATGCTTAGTGTGGAATTATAGGTGCTGTGAACATCAGTTCTATTCTAAAAGTAGGCTTCTAGGTCTCATCCTTTTTGGAAAGAGCCTTGAAAAAGAACAATGTTAGAATTAGCATGGTTTGCCCCCTTTTCTGGTGTCTTCCTTCACCATCTCCATGATAAGAAATGGCAAATTGTTATATTTTGTTTTATTTGGCTCAAAATAATGGGAAACAGGGCATGATTGGTTGCTTTCTGGAGCCTGAATGAGGACAGATCCACACATTCAACCAATGTGGACATCTAAATCTTCCAGATGGCCAATCCATCCATCATCAGTATAATTAACTTTCAAGAAGGTGCCTGCAAATTCTTAAGAAGAAGAGCTGGCATGCTGAAGCCAAAGTAAGAGACTTACAGTGCACTTTGCATGTCTCCTTAGTGCTTTATGTGACTGACTGCAATGATGAGTTTGCCTCTCTCCTGTTCAAACAAATGAGACTTGAAATGGCTTACATTTGTCTGGTTCATGCAGAGGAAGAAGGAAAGATGATTGTATGCTGCTGTCCCCTGGACAGGTGACTGTTTGACAAATGTGGGTCAGAATTCTGTAAGAAACAGCACAATTTAGTATTTCTTTATGCAGAATTATGCTATAGCTAGCTATTCAACACTGCTTGGACTTACCATTCAGCTGTTATGCCACCCCCTCATGTCCAGTCCATGACTGCTGAACAGTGGCAAGGGGATGAAAGACCCACCTGGGTATGTCCTCCCCATAGCAAGACACGAAATGATTACACCAGCCACTGACGTCCTCCACACAAAAACTACTACAGGCCCTCCACATTTGTCGCTTTTACTTTTGCGGATTTGATTATTTGCAGTTTTGATAAATGTGTTCTCTCTAAGGACCTTTTCACACGCGGGCCACAAAGCGATAAGAAAGCGAAATAAGAATAAATCC